ATGGAGCGTCCGTTCGAGGATCAATCACACCTGTATAGGTCGTACCTAAAGAACCACAGTGGTTATCCTTCACAGATAAAGAGTGAGACAGTCACAATCCCTTCAACAAGTCAGACCAGTCGGTGTCACACGATTTATTCAAAAGAGAATCAAAAGAAAAGAAAAAAAAAAAGCCCGCTAAGTCGATAACTTGAAAACAAGTGGCTTAGGCAAAAATTAGGGCATCCCGTTGGACTTCGAAAGAGGATATACTCAAAAGAGTCAGTCCATGAAAAATAGAGAATAAATGATGAAGAACAAGTCGTGTGAACCAGACACCAAAGACGAAAAGCGAGTGACTGTCACTCCAAAATTTGTGGTTTCTCGAACCATCACTCTAGTCATTTAACCTTTGAGAGGTGAGCGCTTGTGTCGAATTAGCTGAACATAGGATTGAAGAATATTAAGGAGAGTGGGTGGGTTAAACAGAACTTTGAGCCTCATATCCTTTCTTTCCAACCGTGAACCTGACCAAGTTACAACCTTCAAAAGTCCTAATTGAAGCAGGTTTGTTTTGAAAGCATACTTCGGTAAAGATCGCGTCGAAACTGACTCCTAAAAGGATTTTTCTTACCCTATGGGTATGGATATTGATATTTCTGATAAGTGATTCGTTCACTAAATGCCACACTTTTTTCCAGTGACCAGACTTGGATTTCAAAACTGTCATATGCATTGCATTAATATTATCTTTTGCAAAACAATTTGTTTTACTTGCGAGAAAGCATTTGACATCAGGAAAGTTTCTACAATGCAAAGTTTGATAGGAATAAGATATAGAACGTCTGAATACTCCTTTGAGCAGGGGCAAGTCACGTCAGGTAAACGTAAGCAGAGTCGGTCATCCCTAGATGCAGTTAATCTGGGGCAATCAGGTCGAAACTCGTCAAACCACTCGAAGGCCAGTCGAAGACGCCATTCCCTAAAGTTGGTTAATCTGGGGCAATCAGGTCGAGATTTGATAAATCTCTCGAAGTCAGCCAGGGGCACTTCTCTACAAATCAGCCAACCAGGGGCAAATCACTTCAAAGCTAGGGCAGGTCACCCGGAGAGCACAAAGACTATCCTTGTCCAGAAAGGAAATCAACTTGAAAGCACTTCTTCGGGGTTCGAAGCGCTGAGGCAGTTCATAGCTAACCATCAGGGTACCGAATTCCAGGTTTCCTTTCGAGGAAGGTTTCTACAAAAGTCCCACAGGCTGGGGCAAAATCGTAAACAAAGGAGATGTGTTCCTCTCCATATCTTCAAGAGTTTATCAGAGTTATAGAAGCAGATTTGGGTTTATTTTCCCAGCAGTAGGGCGAGCGCTGTATTGTTATCCCCACAGAGTCTAAATGGTTGACTCCTTCCCCCTTAGAGTCTAGCCAAGCCAGCGGAGTTAATTTCCTTCCCCACAAAATGGAGCTGACTCAGAGATCGTTCATCTCCATCCCCAGCAGAGAGAGTGTGGGATAATTCTTCCAGTAAATCTTATTCAACATCCCTAGCAGATAGTGGATTCAATCTCCGACAGAATGGAGCTATCCCTCAGCAGTCCGCCGTGTTTCCCCAGTAGAGTTATTCTGGCTAATCATTCATAACTGATTTCCCCGGTAGAGTGGAGTTGTTGCCTCCGGCCAAGTTGCTTGATCCCCAGAAAAGTTGTAGGCTGATAGGCCATCCGGGACGTCTTCCGCAGCAGAGTTTGATTTGGATCCCCAGCGGTTTGGTTTGTTCTTAACAGAGCGGTTTTACCCAGAAGTTTTTCTCGGAGGCCATCCACGGCTTGCATTCCCCAGCATGAGTTTATTTGCGCTAAGGCGTATCTAGCTCTGACTCAACGGAGTTGGCTCTTTCTCTTTAGCATTTATTTTGCTAAAATGGTTCATTTGCATTTACATGCGTGCATAACATCCACCCAAATGCGAAGCATTTCCATTTCGTATGGAGCATTTCGACATATCCAAACATATGCATGCGAGACATAAGCCAGGTCGTTGCCCTTTTGTTTCAAATGAATCTCGCAGATGATTAGTATCTTTGCCCGTGTGTTGGCTAGACCCCAGCTCATGGTGTTTCCCCAGCGGAGTTATTTTGCGACTATCACCAATGGATGGTCTTAATCTCGTTTGAATCTTGTTGCTCGCTTATATTTAGCGAAGGCTTGGCGGCAATGTCAAGTGATTTAGTGTTTCAACGGCGATGTTGAGAGGTCTGTTTTGACGGCGATGTCAAGTATTTATATTCTTCAACGGCGATGTTGAGAAGTTTGTTCTGACGGCGATGTTAGATGATTTAGTGTTTCAACGGCGATGTTGAGAGGTCTGTTTTGACGGCGATGTCAAGTATTTATATTTTTCAACGGCGATGTTGAGAAATTTGTTTCTGGCGGCGATGTCGGAGTAATTTGTTTGTTCAGCGGCGATGTTGAATGTTGGTTTCTGGCAGCGATGTCGGAGTAATTTGTTTGTTCAGCGGCGATGTTGAATGTTTGTTTCTGGCGGCGATGTCAGAGCATTTTGTTTGTTCAGCGGCGAGGTTGAAAGTTTGTTTTGACGGCGATGTCAAAAGTAATTGTTTATTCAACGGCGATGTTGAGAAGTTTGTTTCTGGCGGCGATGTCAAGTACTTATATTCTTCAACGGCGATATTGAGAAGTCTGTTTTGACGGCGATGTCAGATGATTTGTCTATTCAGCGGCGAGGTTGGATGTTTGTTTCTGGCGGCGATGTCAGAGTAACTTGTTTATTCAGCGGCGAGGTTGGATGTTTGTTTCTGGCGGCGATGTCGGAGTAACTTGTTTATTCAGCGGCGAGGTTGGATGTTTGTTTCTGGCGGCGATGTCGGAGTAACTTGTTTATTCAGCGGCGAGGTTGGATGTTTGTTTTTGACGGCGATGTCGGAGTAATTTGTTTATTCAGCGGCGAGGTTGGATGTTTGTCTTTGACGGCGATGTCAGATAATTTGTTTATTCAGCGGCGAGGTTGGATGTTTGTTTTTGACGGCGATGTCAGATAATTTGTTTATTCAGCGGCGAGGTTGGATGTTTGTTTTTGACGGCGATGTCAGATAATTTGTTTATTCAGCGGCGAGGTTGGATGTTTGTTTCTGGCGGCGATGTCGGAGTAATTTGTTTATTCAGCGGCGAGGTTGGATGTTTGTTTTTGACGGCAATGTCAGATAATTTGTTTATTCAGCGGCGAGGTTGGATGTTTTTACCGACTTAATGTCGAGGCCTGACCGTGAGGTCAAATGCTTTTACCGATTATTTTAAGAATTGTCGGCGAAGTCAGAAGATTGTTTTAAGAGAATTGACGGCAAGGTCAGATGTTTACTTGATTTACGACTGACGGAGAAGTCAGAAGACGATTTTAAAGGAAATTTTGACGGCGAAGTCAGAGAATGTTGTAAAAATGACTTTGAAGTCAGAAGATTATTTTGAGGAGCTGACGGCGAGGTCAGACCTTTCATTTAATATGGGTGCCTGGCGGCGATGTCAGAAGTTCGTTTCGCGGTTGTCAAATTTCCGGGTTCTTTGGTATTCAACCGTCTTTTACCTTTGAATGCTTGAAAGTCGTTCACTTTTCAACCCTTCAGGTCCAAGACACTTGAATAGGGGCAGCTGTTGCACCCCAAAATTTGACCAACCTCTTCTTTACTTGGTTTATGTTTCATTTCATTGTTCTAGCATATTGCATTACATAACATTCTACATTTACAGGGGATCAAGTGTTTGTCTGTGCACCACTCAAGAGGAAAATCTTTATTGGTTTCGAGCTCGAGCAAAGGCACTGGAATAAACCATCAGAAGACTGTCAAGGGGTCCATAGGGTTTTATCATTGGTGTGAGCATGAGGTAGAAGTTTGTTGAATACCTCAGAGGTCATGGAGGAGTGGAAATGGTCACTCGGTTCATCTAAACAATGCTTAGGCAAAAAAGGATGAAATTAGGGTTTCAATTTTAATCAAGATAAAACTTGTTATCAGATTGGGAGTGTGAGGTGTGGTTTGGGCATTCAGTGGAAGTTTGATCTAATCTTGATAAAACAAGTGTTTGGTTTCAGTATCATGTTGTCAGGTGGATAATCATCAGAACTCAGGATTGGGTAAAGTGGCAGTGTAGTTATCAGCCTGGGCTAAACTTATATGTTTCATGGTGGAGAATCATATGGAATCTGTCCCCCTCCAGTTAAGATTTTATGCAGCGCATTGTGATTCCTTAAGATCAAAACAGGTTCATTTGGTCCATAATGTCGTCCAAAAAGATTAAAAGTGAGTTTTGTGTTTCGTCACAATTCAAAGGGGGCTTTAAGTTCAAGATTATTTCAACTTTATTTTTTTGGTTTCATTGATTCAAGATTATAATCCATTCCATATTTAAGAATGACTCATTTTTGGGTTGAATGTGGTTAACATAGAAACCAAATTTTAATTCATTCATCTCGAGTTGGATTTCAAGTAAGATGGAAATGGTTTTAAGTGTACTCCATTTAAGTTGGTAAATCAAAACTAAGGCACAAATAGCACATTCAAAGTCCATTCCCAATTTTGCAAGAATTTGTTTTACAACGGATGCCCATGGACCATAGTATGTTTGTGATGATAAATCAATTTACAAAGGAAAAAATATGGGATACAAATGACATTTGGAAGTACATTGCAATTGCGACTTGTAACAAAAGATCATTACAACAAGTGCCAAGAAATAATAATAAGAAAAGGCTCCAGGGTGATGCTTCACGCTAACTTGCAAGCATGACCAAGCAAGAGACCTTCTACCCATGTGGCATGTGGTTCCCACCTTTCTTCAGCCAGCAAAATCTGTACTACCAAGACTATTTTGCGACAAGACCATTGCCAAAATGCAGAAAGCTACAACAACAAAGTAGCTGCTTTCTCTATTGTGACCGTGCTACTATTTTCGTGCCTATGTTACACAACATCCGACTACTTTGATGAATAAAATCACCAAAATGTGAAACATGTACCCTGCACAAAAACAGACAAGTCAACTTTGCAAAACCTCAAAAGCCACAACAAAACCGTACCGTCAAGAAAACATGCCGCTTGCAAAGGGTCTTGTTGAACTTTTGCAAGAAGCGAAACAAGAAGTTCCTTCATGGTTAATCCAATATTCCCAGTCGTCAGCACCAGGTGGACGTGGTAGCTCTGGATCTCAACGGTCGCCTTGGAGAGGCAATTACGGTGGGCGCGATTTCCGGACTGCAGCAGAACCTGTAAAGGTGCAGAATTACAACTACAACAGTACCTATAGCAACGGAAGAGACCATACTGCCAACACTTATACTGATACATCTTTAGACATCCAAAACTCTAACAACAATGCCACCTTTGACAACACTAATACAGAAATTGCTGATGGATACAATTATCCTGATGATGGTTTGTGTGAAGGCAGTGATGGCATAAATGGGCCATGTGGGTATGCATCTGTTGTGCCCACTGGATGGGACTGACTTGGCTAGTGTCTTGCTCGTTGCATCCTTTTTGCTATTGATTTTGATGGATAAGGTAACCATGCATTCAGTAATGCCGAAGAGCAATTAGCTAGAGATCCCTAACTTTAAGAAAAGGACAAAATCACTGCTGCAGGGACTGTACCGACCTGGACAAACCTGCAATAAAAAAGAAAAACCCAAAACAATAAAGCAGCTGAACGCTGGCTGGTGGCCGAGAGTGTGAGAAAAATCATCGACGCCGTTGGTGGTGGCGATAGCTTGCCCGGTAAAAAGCAACGCTACAGATAAGTCTCCGGGATTCGACAATTGAGTCGATCTTTGGCTTTTTATTCCTCTTTTATTCGACAATTGCAGCGCACAGACATGAGTAGCACTCCACAGCGAACCCTTGGTGGCGGGGGTCATCGTATATTGGAGTATCTGAAGCGCATGCAATCAGAGAATCCTGCTTTCTTCTATGCAGTTCAACCTGACGTTGCCGGTGGAAACATTTTCTGGGCTGATCCAACTTGTAGAAACAACTACTCTTTTTTTGGAGATGCCGTTATATTTGACACTACCTATAACACTCACCAATACCGCCTACCTTTCGCCTCTTTCACCGGCTTTAATCATCACGCCCAACCTGTTTTATTTGGTTCCGCATTGATTCTCAATCAATCTGACTCTTCCTACATATGGCTTTTCCGAACTTGGCTTCACGCCATGTCTGGACGCCTCCCTCTCTCCATTACCACTGACTTGGATCCACTCGTACAACTTGCTGTTGCTCAAGTTCTTCCCCCAACTCGTCACCGCTTCTCTACATCCAGCATTTTCAGAGAAAACAGAGCCAAACTGCCTCATTTATATCAATCACATCCTACTTTTGAAACTGAATTCATGAAATGTGTTCATGTGAGTGAGACTATTGATGACTTTGAGTCTTGTTGGCACTCTCTAATGGAAAGGTACTGTATCATGGACAATCAATGGATTCACTTTATTTACAATGCACGGCACCATTGGGTCCCTGTCTACTTGCGCGACACTTTTTTTTGGAGAAACATCTTTGAACGCTGGAAATGAATGTTTGAACCTTTTCTTTGACGGACATGTCAATGAATTCACCACATTACAGTCTTTCGTTAGACAGTATGAGAAGGCTGTATCAACTTGGCATGAAAGAGAACTCAAAGCAGATTTTGAAACCACCAATACTAGCCCAGTTTTAAAAACACCCTCTCCTATGGAAAAGCAAGCTGCAGGTCTTTATACCAGAAAGATATTCATGAAATTCCAAGACGAGTTAGTCGAGACAATGGCAAATCCTGCTACCAAAATGGATGATACAGGAACTATCACCACTTACCGGGTTGCCAAATTTGAGGAAAACCAAACATCTCACACTGTCACTTTTAATTCTTCTGAGATGAAAGCCAGTTGCAGCTGTCAGATGTTTGAATATTCAGGAATCATTTGCAGGCACATATTAGCAGTCTTCAGAGCTAAAAATGTTCTTACACTTCCGCCTCACTATGTGTTGAAACGCTGGACAAGGAATGCGAAAACTGGCGTCTTGTTAGATGAATGTGCATCTGAACTGCCTAGTAGTTCTCGTGACTCTACCATAGTACGTTACAACAATTTGCGTCAAGAAGCAATCAAGTATGTGGAAGAAGGTGCTAAATCAGTCCAAACATATCGTGTTGCAATGAAAGCTTTGCAAGAAGCTGCTAAGAAGGTTTGTATTCTAAGAAAAGAGACCACTGGAACAGCAGAGGGACCCACAATAGCCAACAAAAAACAGCACAGCCCACAGACAATACCCTGCTGCAAAACAGCCCCACACCAGACAAACAGCCATGCCAGACAAGCTCTGCACCAACTGTACCGGCCTGCTGCACTCTGCTACACAAGCATACTCTGCTAACAACAACAGCCTGTAAAAAAAACCATCCCTCAAAACACAATAAAACCACCACTTGCATAAAAACACACACAACACATCTTGAATCACACACAAAAAACCACACTTCAAGCTTTTCTCTCAAAAAAAAACTCCATGATTCCCTTCCTTCACCATCTTTGATAACCCTTTTAACCTCCATAACCAAGTTCAAAACATTCAACTAACAATCTTCATCCTCACTTCCATATACAAACAAAACCTCACTTTGAGCATCTCCATACCACTTCTTCACTATCTGTTGTGAACCTCTACACATAGCACAGGTTACATACACTTGTCTTTTTCTTTTTCAACCAAACACCATGTGAAATTTCACTCATCATGCATTCATAGATGACCAACTTCCACCGACTAGTATGTGAAAGCGCAGAGAAATAAAAGAGTGTGGAAACTTTCTTTTGCTGCCATTAAACTTCATTTCTATTTGTCCCCATCAACTTCTCCCACTTCTTCTTTGATCTATGTCTCAGAACTGCACAACTTCAGCCATCGCGTTTAGCAAGCTCAACAACATTGGTTCGGAGCACACGTTGGACGGAAGTGGAAAGAGGTCATAAGCAGCTGGTTTCAGGCTCCCCGTAATTGTGTCTCAGTCCTTCACTTATCAGTAATAACAGCTCAAGGCGGCAATGACGTATGGGTTTGCGGTGTCGAATTAAAATCCTTAAGCGCAGCAACCAAGGAAGTCCCAAATGCGTCTGTCAGCTCAGCTTTTGTTCGACCGTAGCAGCTTCGATATTTGCGGTAACAGCAGCAATGCCATATTACTTCAGTAGCTCGTCATTTGTTTTGTAGACTGTCAAAAGGTTGGGCTGATATGTAAAGCAAAGAGGAAAATAGAGGATGTATTGAGGAAATACTGCAGAGCCATCACTCAACAAACCGCTCTGAAAAGTGTTCTGTAAATCTCTCCCTATCAAAGCCAACGATGCATTCGACGGAGCTCAAACTTCAGATGTGATGGTCTCTTGCATTTTCATCTGCAGAAATAACGTTGCGATCTTCAACAGATGGCGACCGTGTTGTGTTTAATGCAGGATCAGTTCTGTTGAAGCAGGAATCCAGTTCATATCATCGGTAGCGGAAAACAACAACCAAACTATAACAGAACCACATTCGATCTTTGTCTTCCACCTGCAAAATTTCAACCCAGAATTGAAGCTTCCAAATCCAGCAAACGCATCTGCTCAACCTCACTTTCTCTTCGCGCAATACCGTCCAACCAAGATTCGGGCCAACTCCAAACATAACACCATTGTTGTGAATCCTCCAATCGCTTTCCGTTAACACACTCGTAACTCCAACTTTCCTTCATCCTCCTTCGAACTCCAACTTTCCTTCATCCTCCTTCGAACTCCGACAAATCCCTTTCATCCCCAATCTATCTTCAACCCAACACCTCACTCCAACATCCGCCGAGAAACTGCTCATGTATCACTAACAACAACTCATTTCAACTCAGTTCTTCTTCCAAACTCAGAGCCCTGCTTGTAGCTGCCATAGATACTCGCCGTCAACAAAAGAAATCATCACCGTGGAAGCTTTGAGTTGTCGTGGCTATTTCACAAACACTTGGTGTGCGACCCCATTCAAACCTTCACCGTGATAACTTCTTCGCGTCGCTTGCACCTTTCTCCAAAGTCCACTCTCAAATCCCACAACCATCGTCCTTCAACCCTTCTTTCCTTCGACCTGCACTCAAATCAACCAAATTCACAAACTCAGAACTTAATCAAGAACAAGAGGAAGGACAGTAAAAGAGGACGGAGAGCAAGCGGGTTTGAAACCATACGAACCTTTAAAGGAATCCGAAGCAAGCGAGAACCAAAGTATGGACGAATTGTGTTGTTGTTCACGTGAATCAAATTGAACCGCGAATCTCGGGGAAAAGCGAACGGGAGATCGAAGATTAGGGAAGCAAACAGAGGAAGATCACGGTACTTTCTTTTTCTTATTGTGTAACTATAATTTTATTATTAATTTAAAAAAAAAAGGGTTGTTTGTTATTATATGTATATATTAATTTTGTATATATTATGTTTATAATGGTTTTTATATTATTTTATAGGTTAGTAATATCTTTTCTTATTTAATTTTAGGATTATCTTATATATATTATTTTCCATTTTTTCCTAGTTTAATATATTTTATTTATAATTTCTATTATATTACTTTTAGAAGTATTGTATATTATCCTTTGTTCGTAATTTATTTAGAAGTTTTTATAAGTTTATAATATAGTTTCATGTTTAGAGTTACAAATCTCTTTCCATTTTAGAATTTAAGTCCATTTCGCATTTGTTATTGGGCATTTTGTCCCATTTTCACCGTTTTGGTCGATGACGAGACCTCCGTAATTCATTACCAGTCAAATTATTGATAAGTAATGTTGGATCTGAGACCACCTCTTTTTTTCTCTTCATTACTTGTCCCGACTCGATTTAAAGCATTGACAAACCATTTTCGAAATCAAATTATCTTTGTATTGAATTAAAAGAGGGGATTAAGTGTAGGCTTTCTTCCTCTCCGAGTGTTGGGATACCCACTGTAGTGAGGGTGGTTCCGACACTCGTCTTTCAATACGAAGACGCTTCCCGTCCATTTTCAAATCTCATCTCCTTAAAATCATTTCTTTGTGTTGAGCTAAAGAGAGGATTGGGTGTAGACCTCTTCTTCTTCGAGCATAGGGATGCCCACTGTAGTGAGGGTGGTCTCGATACTCGTATTTCGATACGAAGACGTAACTTTATCCATCACATATCACTTTATCCACCATCTCGCTTTCACAACTTCCTTCCACAATTTTCACACCTAAAACCTCGGTCCTGTACTGAGTGCATTTTCAAATCTTTTCATAACAAAAACTTGAATGGTCGTGGAGTGGTTAGGCGTAGGCCTTCTCCTATCCCGAGTGCTGACGTTTACCGTAGGGTTCTCTGTCGCAAAGCACTTACTATTCAAAACTAAAAATACCTTTAATAAGAGAACGAAGCTCCCTTTATGTTGGATTAAAGAGAGAGGATTGGGTGTAGACCTCTTCTTCTTC